ATCAGATGCTTATTACTGCCAAGGCAAACAAATTTTTCTTTCCTCGATTTTAAAAGATCGTTTTTTCTTAAAAGTAAATTTTTATGATCCGAAGGTGGCTACGATTACATAGCACCAAATTTGTATGATTTCATAAAGTTGACTGATTAAAGATAAAAATAAAGAGATAGTATAACATGGAATAGATATACTTGTAAAGATACTTGTAAAGAGAAAAAATTTATAAGATATAATTTACTGCATTAAATTTAATTAAAATTCTTAATTTAAGAATCACACTCACAAAAAATAGTAATATTTTTTGTTTTTATTTGATTACATTTTTCTTAAGCTTGTGCCTACTTTTTTAAAATTTTAACATAATGTGCATCAAACAATTGCATTAAATTTCGCATTAAAATTTTTGAAAATTTTCCGTGGTGATTGTCTGTCTTTTTCAAGTGCGATAGTAAAACTTAGAATTTCACACAAATGGAAATAGATTTTATTAAGCAATTTTTCACCATCTTACATATTACTCTTTCCTGTACTACAGTGTATGTCTATTAGAGTATTACAACAAACAGCTACATTCATAATTAAAAATTTCAGACTATTAAATGGTAGAGAAACACCTTAAGTGTTTTTAGATACGTAATTTAAAAAATTAGATAAGATCTATAATTCACTTTTAAATTTGGCTTACAATAGCATTAAAACTTATGTTAAAAAAATTATTTAACGTATATGTTGTATGTACTAAAATATGTCAGAATGTGTGTATGAATATTTTATCTTACATATCTTAGGATTTTCTTTACTCATGTTCATTTAATAAGACAATTATTTTTTTATAAAAACAGAATCATCGATCAACGTGTTTACAGCTCGAATTTAAAGTGAACATTGGTTGTTCTCCCGCACGAAATAAAAAGTATGTCAGCTATTCTACAGTCAGTAAGGTATCTTACCTGACGTATTGGTAGCGTTGCTGTCCTACTTTTTAGAACGCTGGTGTCTGAAACAGGAGAGCAGCTCTTTTAAGCTGTGAGGGCGCTGCGAAATCAAAGCAAGGTATCGTAGTGATTCTGGTGGGGGCTATAGCACCACCAATGTTCTCCCAGTGCAAGCTATTTTACTATACGCAAAACAAACATCCACACTTACACAATTGGAAAATCTACTGGCAGATAAATGAAGAAATATGCGGATAAATGACACTGCATCAAATGCAATTTTAAGTCCTACTACTGCAAGATAAACAAATGACAAGAAACGCCAGAATAAAAAGAAATGTGAATTGCAATTTTTGTGTCCATAAGTAAGTACCTACGGTATCATCCCACTTACCAGAGAAATTTGACTCATGTTGAAGAATTAATATTACGCAAATGGCAAAAATCAATTTATTCTACCCCTACATTTCACAAAAAATTTTACTCATATACGGCTGCTACATCATACTTCACCTTCGCTGAGCCACCTGGCAACCAGCGTGCCAACATTCCATTGTAACCCTGAAAAACTACTCTTGCTTGAGCAGACAACTAGACCAGTAGCCTGGACAGTTGGCTCCATAAAAAAAAAAATTTTTAATTGGTGCATTAACAAATAAACTGAAAGATAAAGCAACTGAGTTCATACCAAGCCTGGCACTATTCAAAAAGGTGAAAAAAAATTATATCGGAACTAAAAAATAGATATAGTAGTACAGGCAGCACCGACACACTATTTGCAAAATTAAAAGATAATCATTATATTGTACGCCTTAAACCCAACACACCTAGCAAAGAAAAAAATTATATTAAAAGCCAGTGGGGAAAAAAGCAAAAAGTAATATACGTACGATTTAAAGGCCTCATTCAACTACAAAGTAACGTACCTCAATCTTAAAACAATAGGGAATGCGATAGAGATCACCTTAAAAACAGTGGGCGAACTTACTTTGTACCAAATTATAGTTGTGAGATAGAATTACAACTATATCTGTTGGGAACGGAAGACGAGCATCCAAATTACTACACAAATCACGATAGAAGAAAAGTAACAGATACATTAACATACTAAAAATAGTTGTAGAAAGTGAAAAGATAAATCGGAATGATACAGGCGAGAAGCAGTATAACAAAAACTGTTATAAATATGGTGAACGGGGAAATGCCCCTACAACTTACATAATTATAATAGTTAGAATAAACCCTCCTTCAATAATGGTTATACAGGAAACAACCATGGCAACGGTAATTTTAGCAGTAATAGAGGCAATTATAATAACAAGAGTCATTACAACTGAAACTATGATTACGACAATAGCAGACACAACAATGAAGGTACAATGAACAAAATTTTAACAGGAGTTTTAGTTATCAGGACAAAAAATCCTTTAACAATAATGTGATCGATGCCCTTAAAAACAGGATAGATGATTCTTGTATGTAGCATTTAAACTCCCAGGATACTCTTGGTGCCCCCAAGCGCCAAGCAGGCACCTATCTAGGTTAGAAATAGAGTTCACATGGCAAAATGAGAAATAGGCAGTCGAAGCAGAGAAAGAGCCAATGAAATTAGATAAAATATGCAATGGAGAAAAATCTAGCTATATATCATACAGAAAAAAGTGCATAAAAAGCAGTAAAATCGCTGGAAAGAGAGCATGCAGGCTCCTTAAACGACTGAAAATAACATGAAGAGAATATATTCGAGCAAAAGCTTGAAACTCATAGCTTTTAGTTCGATGAGAATAAGAAGGCTGAAAATACGAAAACACCTCTTTGTGTAGTAAGCATGTTAAGTGCATGGTGCACACCATCATTAGTACTTCTTAACAGAAATCAATTCGAATAATGCAGTGAAAAATTATTTGTGGATACGGGTGCAAAAATATCATTTCTAAAGAAAAGGTGTCTCACAAAAAACACATAAACGAATAACAGAGATAGAGCCCTTACAACTGGCATTACACATGGAGCACTTAGCACGCTAGGGACAATTAAGATACCAACAAATTGTATTATTGTTGGTATCCTGTGCATATTCCCCGATAATTTCACGGTCAAAATGCGAAGCATTAATGTCTAGGACATTGCTCAATTGAACAATGACATCATAAACACCAAAGAAATCGCAGTACAATTCGAATGCATAGATCGTCCTAGAATATATAACCTATAATGTCGAAAAATAATGGAAAGTCATCGCAGACTCGAAATTACTAAATAAAAAAACAGTAAAACCATGTGACTATGTCATCATTAACCACTAACCTGTAAAAATGAAAATTTAGAAAATTTAGCAGCGGCACACTACATAATCGTCATCGACTTCAAATAAAAATTTTTCCTAATCGAAATAAACAAAACTGATGTACATAAAACAGCATTCTCAGATGCAAACGATCATTACCAGTCCAAGCGGATTCCTATAGAAAACTTGAAACCAAATAAGGCTTAAGAGACTCTACAAACGACTAGCTTACGCAAACCTTACAAGAACTAAAATATTGCCAATTATCTAATAAAGAAGTAAAAGTCTTTGTACATATACATAGTATGCAATAGTCAAATTAAGACAAAAAATATAAATATAAAAAGACTTCTATAAAATTAGGCAGCTAATCTCATAACTGATTGGAAAAACAGTTGAGATTCAATGGAAAGAGCCATAAGAACAAGCATTTGATAAATTAAAAGCTATTCTGTGTAGCGAGCCAATACTCACAGCTCCTAATGTAAAATGTAAATGAACCTTTCATCGTAATCACTGATTCATTAAATTATGCAATAGGCGCAATCTTAAGCTAAGGTGAGATAGGAAAGGATCACCCGTGCTACTACACATCGAGATCAATTTTGACCATACCTGTTTGGACATAAATTTACTGTTATTACAGATCATGAACCACTCATTAAACAGACAGCATTTAAACACGCACACACACATACAGAGAGAGAGAGAGAGAAAGAGTATAAAACTGTAGATATGTGGAGCTCTTGACGATGACTACTGTGGTCCTTACTATTTACATTCTAATACAAAAAATTTGATGACTCAACTGTTTTATTACAGTATCATTAAGATAGTGAAAAAAATAAATTAGTTATTGATTTATATTTCTAGAAATATATTGAAAATTTTCGAATATGCATGACACTTATGAAAATAAATAAGAGAGACATGATTAGTAGGGGATGGTAAGGGGCTTAATAAATTGGAGGTGGGTGGTGGTGGGGAGTGGAGGGACAATGATGGTCCTTTGCTGGGGCTGCAGACTTTTATTAACATCGTAAAAAAACAAACGTATATTACCTTTATTTAATTTGTGAACTCACAGTAAGGGATGGTGGGCAGTTTTAAGCCTGCCCCACCAATATCACTAGTTAATATAGGTACATACATATGTATATATTTATATTAAAAGTATAATTTTAATCTACTATCATTATTTACATGAATTATGAATTTTGATGTTCAGTCCATATAAAACCTGTAGCATTAATTTTTCAGTGGTGTAAATTTGATGATGATGTCGTATCACGTTGCTCAAAGCAAGAAGCTATAGAACATAATTATGGAGGACAGGATGAAGATGTTTCTATGACAGTCAAACATTGTACTAACGCATATATGTTAGTTTATATTCGAAATTCTCAATTGGAAAACGTCTTGCAAGATGTTCGAGAAGAGGATATTCCGCAAGAGGTAATTATAGTAAATTAAAAACTGTATAACGTATCAGTATATTAAAATTGCATTGGTTGTATAATGTATTTTAAAATAATTTTTAATTCCACAAACAGTTGATTTATGATTGTCAAGTGCAAAAATTAGGTTTGCTTTTTACTGATTCTTAAACAAATTAAATTTGTGTCTTTAACAAAGCTGTATACATAGTGCAATGATTATGAGGCATAATGAACAAAATTTTGGTATAGACTCTGTGCAGGTTATTTATGCAAATAAGTATCGTCTTTATTAAATAGCTTTTTTTAAATTACGGTTGTACTCACTTTAAACAATAATTTATATGTTTCAAGTCCCTTTATCAGTCAGGTGATACCAGTAAGACTTTAAAAATGTTATCTAACTTAAAAGAGATTTTAAAAATACATCTTAATTTGCTAAAGTTATTTGGCTTTCTTTTTTTTTTTATATAGAACCAGTGTCCCCCCCCCCCCGCCTTAGCCCGAGACTCACCAAATGGAACACCGTACCGTAAAATCTTACATCTATTCCTGACCCTTCTGAAACGAAAGTCTTCGTTCAAAGTTTATTTGGTTAATAGCTGTAAAAAGTGAAAAAGCTATAGTTATGATAAAATGTACCGTGCGTTTCTTATGCCATAACATAATCGGTGGCCCTAAAGAGCTGTTGATTTGCAGTTTCTCCTGTATGAACTACAAAAGGGGACTTTTTAAACTGTTAGAATTAAAAACTCACAAAAAATTTATAATTACAAAATTTTTTTCTCTTATCTCACGAATTTATTACCAGAACAACTAAGTCCTAGAGCTTGATCTCTGTATGTTTTATCGCCACAAATATATAAATGCATATTCTACCTGTTAATGCTTCTTAAAGATTTAAGAAATTACTGCGAGGATAATAATAAAAAGCTTGTCTCTCTCTCATCAAATTATTATTTATTGATTTTGATGCTACTACTTCAATCTTGATAACGTTTTGCGTCAGTTTCTTAACGCCTAAAATTCCATACGGTAGATGTATTTGAAGTTTTCCTTTCAATTCTCTCTCTCTTGCGACTTTTGGCATTCTCTGGCTAGACATATCTCCTGGTATTTCTTTCGAGACGTTAGCATTAAGAACACCTTTTTATGAGTGGCACCTGTCTATCTTGGTGGTTTAGAATAGAGTTCAACATAAGTCACTTGTTGAGTATAGAACAGTGTTGTCGGTAGCCAGGATACCCAGCTGCACGACTTCCAGTTCTATGCTTCATGCACTGCCGATGATCAACTGTGGTACTCGGTACTTTGCTCTTGGATATAATAACCATACTTACTTAATTCTATTACAGGTATGTTGTATTTTACTTGAACGTCCACTAGTGGATTCTACTAAACTAAAGTGAAAGACTAGCGTGTTTTACAAAATTTTCAACTTATTCATTGCTATTGTTATAAATTTTTTCAAGATAAAAACTATATAAGACCATCTATAAAGTGTTGAAAATAAGTATAAAAAATTTCAGCAAGATCGGTTGAGCAGCTTTCGCGGTTAGCAATTACAACGGTTTTAGCAATGTTGCTTTATACATTACAAGCAGCTCCCCCGTCTCGGCTTCGCACAAGAGTCACTCAATGGAATACCCTAGTGTATTAACATGTTATGTGAAAAATTTTCAGTTAAAAATTTCTGACACTTCTCAGACCAAAATCTTCTTATTTAAAACATTTTTGTTCGGAATCCATACAGTTTATTTGGTCAAGTAAAAAGCTGTAAGAAGTGAAAAAAAAATAATTATGTTGAAAAGTACTGTGCACTCCTTGTGCCCTAAAATTATGGTTGGCCCTAAAAAGCCGTTGATGTTGCAGTTCCTCCCGTGTAATCTATGAACTGGGCTTTTTTTAAGCTGCAAAGATTTAAAACTCACAAAAAATACGTAATTAGAAAAAATTTTTTTCTCTTAACTCACAACTTTATTACCGCAGCAACAAAGTCCTAAAGCTTAATATCTAAATTTTTTATCGCCTCAAAAATACAAATACATATTCTACCTATTTAAAAATCTAGAAGATTCAAGTGATTGTCATAAGGGTTATGGTAAAAAGCTTATCTTTCAATGAATAAATTCTTTATTTATCGATGTTGATGCTGTTTTAATATCGATAAATGTTCAATGTCATTTTCTCGACGCCTAAAACTGTATTCATAAGATGCATTTAAAGTTTTCCTTCCAATTCTAAAGCTTCTTAAGTAAAATCTTTCTTGACTGAAATTTCCAGCAAACATGATTGCCTGGATACCTCAGGGTGATCTTCTCTAGCTTGTTATTGTTGCACCACACTGGTCGGGAGGAAAATAACAACGTTCGAAGCTTTGGAGCTAGTTGTGGAGTTCTTTTCCGACGTTTCCTGGTATAACGTTGAAGACGTTGGTGTCTAAAGCGCTTGTTTTTTTTGCAGGTTTGAAAAGATTGGTTCGTGACGCTTGCTGGTTGGAGACTGTCCCGTTGGCTCAAGATTATTTTTCCTTCATAGCTGTTAGGTTCTCTCAGTACAGATCTTGAAGAGGATCGGTGATTGCTGGTTGAATGCTTAAAGTTGAGAGGATAATATAGGGTCGTCGGTCACTGGGGTTTCCAGCTTTGCGACGAACAACTCCGCTGGGGATGTCTGCCAGACTGACTTGGTTTAATAGTGGCTGGCTTTACATAGTCTTTTAGTTGACAAATCGTTTCCGAAAATGGTAGTAAAAATGTATTTGTTAGCAAGGTAGTTCAAACTTAGGTGGCCCTTAAAAGAACCGTTGAGATTGATGGTTAAGTAGGAAACGTAAAAACTTATAATCGCCCTGAAAAGGCCTTGTGGTGATACTTGCAGCCATTCCTTATTATTATTCTTGATGATGGAGAGCCAGCTGAGGGTAACTTAACTCTTATCCTTAAAGTCTCTGTACGAAAACCATGATGGAGGGAGGTACGCCGCGGCGCGCCGCCGACCAAAGAATATCTTGTCTTCAAATCGTTCCCCGGATAACCAATCGCTCATCGTTAGTCAGGAAAGTGGGCCTGGAGAATACCTTCTCTGTAGGTATGGCGTTGGGGTGACCACAAAGAAGGAGGCCATTATGGTTGCCCGTACTCTTCAGGGCTGTCTTCCCTGGCTTGCATTTGAACTAGAAAATTCTCCAACGGCACCCAGGCCGGATGGTTGAACGGCCTTATGACTCTGAAGTGTTGGGGAAGGTTGTGCTCTCCTGGTTTTTCTCCGGGGCTGTTGACGTTCCGAACGCCCATTTTTCCGTAGCACCTGATTATCTTGACGATCTGGGATAAAAATCGATTTATTTTGCTTGCCCAATAAAAGAGTGTCATCGGTAGCCGGTATGCCTAGCTGCATGACCTATAACTTTGTTCTTGTTGTACTGCTGATGAGTGACTACGATATTTGAGAAACTGATGGGGCATCTTACAACCACTTTTTACTATCTTTGATTTCGGGTGGCTTCATCTTTACCTCGATGCCATCTAGCGTATCCTACTGAACTTAAGCGCAAAGCTAGCTTATTTTTGCAAGCTTTGAGCATTTATTGATATTTTTATTAACTTTTTTCAGAAAAAAAACTATGCGAAAACCATTTCGGAATCATCAAAAATCAGTATGCAAAATTTTAGCAACATCGGTTCTGTAGTTTTTGTGGTTATCAATCACAACGGTTTCAGCGACTTTGCTTCATATATTAGTAAGGTAAGATTACATGTACCTGCCTCGGGAATTTTTTTTTTAATGATAAGATTTATTTATTGTGTTTTTAGTAAGAAAAATAACTTAACTAAATCATAAAACGTAACAATTGAGAAGAGGAGTCGCCTAGACCTCAATGGTGAAATTGGTAACGCACTTTCCTGGCAAAAAAAGAGTTCCAGGTTTAAATCCTGGTTAACATGGAACTTTTGATCAATTGCTACGTACGAAAATTTTTCTACAGTTTCGTAGTTTTAACTGAAAAACCGAGTTGCTTTGGCAATCTCGTACTGGATGGGAAGTGTCCATAAATTCAATTATTCGCATTAATACTTACCCTTCAATGAAATTACTTAATTTCTAATATTCTTATATACATAAGAAAAATAACATTCGCCACTGATACACATCTAGCAAGGTTGATAAAGGTAAAAAAAGTTCCTTAAAAGTTGTTTTGCAAATGCCTTCAAGTCTAGCGATCGCCGTAAAGTAGATGTTTACCAGTAAAAATAACTACTTTAATGATTGTAACAAACAAGTTGATGTCCAGTTTATCAGATGAGGACACTAACTATTATTTATACTATTGTTTTTAAAGGCTTAGCCAATAATATTCTGAATTGTTTTAACTAAAATGAGTATGGACCAAACTTGTCGTATTAAAAAGCTTTTTTGCAGTTTTGAAAAATTTCACCATTATATGCTTCCATAAAAAATCCAACTTAAAAAACTTTTGGTATGTCAAGTGTTTCCACTTAATTCTGATGCAGTTTATCACGCACAAAGGTAAGAAAGTACGGCATTTCCTCTCGGGTGTGAGTTGCCTTCGGCTCTTATGGCAAACCTACAGAAAATGATGTCGTACGACTATATCCTGAGGCCTGTTAACAGTTTTTTCTCTTTCGCCTCTAGGAATATGACATTTTTAATGTGATTTTCGAAAAAAAATGCAACATAGCCTCAGGTGAAAATTTACTTGCTGTGTATAACAACAATAATTTTATTATCCTCTGTGAGTAATTTTAGCCTATTATTCGGGAGAGAACCACGCAGAAGATAAAAAAATACTATTCTTACCAGTACATTCAATATTTTGCGTAGAAAAAATGTTATACCTTGCTTCCTGAATATACGAAGCTTAGTCGTACTTTTTGTGAGAGTGTTAAAAAAAGACTTTTTTCTTTGCTAATTTCTACAAATTTTACTGCAGTTATACATTTTTAGCTTTTTTATTCATTTGACAGTTGATTGATCACATACTATAATGACTACTAT